TGCAGGGACCAGCTGCCCAGGGTGCGCCCTGAGCTCTCTGGCGCTCCAGGTTTCCTCCTGGCTGTCAGACCCAGGACACCAGGTGTGGACAGGCAGACAGATGGGCTGAAGAAAGCCCTGCTGGAGAAGGAAACCCAGCCTTTGCTGCTCCAGCTGTCTGAAAGCTGAACAAGGACGAAGGTCCCTGTCAGGACGTTGGGCAGAGATGGGATTATGGGGCACAGATGTGGAGTCTATTTTGGGATGTGTTGAGTTAGACAGGCTTGAGCGGTCCCAGAGACACAGGGAGATCTAAGCGGGAGGAGAGGTCGGGCTTGAGTCCAAAGCTTGAGGTCACCTGCCAGAGACAATGAACTTGAGACCTGTTCAAGTTCATTCTTCTTAAGAGCCAGGTTTGCACTCGCTCCTCTCAAACCAATTTCTATTCCCATCTCAGCCAGCTCCTCTGGTAGGAATAATAAGCGGGTAGATAAATGTTAATGAGCACAGGAATAGGAGAAACATTTCTAATTAATCAAGTTATGATTATGTACACCTAATCAAAACTATTATTATTATTGTGGGCATGAAGGACAGGACCTTGGGTGCCTTGGGTTTCAGGGTCACATGAGCTTTCTCTTGAGTTCCACATGAGTCTTCTTTTCCCTGTTAATGAATGAATCTAGACTTGGCCAGGAGGGTCTTCATTAATTTGCCTTTGATCTTCTGATCCTTGAGGGCTGACAGTGATTGGATGGTACATGGTCATTCACTGAACAGCGAGTTCATTCCGGGGCCCCAGTGTGAAGAGAGAGACTTGATTTCTATCTTAGGTCTTCCAGAAGCAGAGCCCTAGAAACAGTGAAGAAACAGGGAAAGCTTAGCTGTTGTCCGTATTGAAGATGTAGCCTGAATGTTCTTGTGCTTCCAAAATTACACATGCAGAAACCCAAGGGGATGTATTAGCAAGTAGCGCCTTGGGGAGGTGATTATACCTTCAGGCCGAGTTCTCGTGAATGAGCTAGTTCCCTATTAAGAGAGACCCTTCCCCTTCTGTCGTGTGAGGATGGGAAGGAGTCTCCATCTATGAACCAGGAAACAGGCCCTCACTTGATGATTTTGGGTGCTTTCTTCTTGTACTGTGGGAAACAGATTGGTTGTTTACGAGCCATTTAGTGTGTTGTAGTATTCTTATAGTAGCCCAAATTGACCAAGACACTGGAGGAGTAATGAAAAGAAACAAATCAGGGGGCCAGGAATGGTGCTCACACTTGTAATCCCAGTTACTTGGTAGGTGGAAATAGAAGGATCAAAGTTTGAGGCCAGCCTGGACAAAAATTTGTGAGATCTGTTCTCAAAGAACAAGAGAGGCATGGAGGTACAGGCCTAGAATCCTAACATATGCAAGAGGTGGAGGTGGCAGAATTGTAGTCAGAAGCCAGTTTGGGCAAAAAGCATGAGACTCAGCCTGAAAAGTAACAAAGCAAAGAGAACTTGAGGCATGGTTTAAGTGGTAGGCCTAACAAGTGTTTGGCACTGAGTTCAAATCTCTGCATCGTCAAAAAAGATTAAGGCTGGCAAAACAGGAGTCAAGGGAGTCCAGAAATACAAAAAGGCTTGCTAACCAGGGTCAAAAACAGGGACTAGCCAGAATAATCCTACTAGAGGAGGATGAATGGAAGGCTGGGCTGTCTGGAGGTGATTGGCTTCCTTTCAGGAGAAAAGCAGCGCAGAGGCCAGCTTCAAAATGGCATCCTTACATCTCAGTTCCCGAGTAGCTAGTACTACAGGACTGAGCCACTTGTGCCAGTCTTTATGTCTTTTAAACATGAAATAAGTGTACAGGAAGGAGATGTGCACATTATCCATTGATGTGTATCAAGCTACTTCAAAACTTAGTAATATAAACCTAGTTACTATGTCACAGTTTGTCTTGGATTTGGGAGCAGCAGCTAAGTGAGTCACCATGGCCCAGGGTCTGCCCTGAGGCTCAGTCAACAGATCAGCTGGGCTGTGATCATTTCTGGCTTGATTAGGGCTGGAGGATCTATTTCTAATAGGGTGTCCTCAAATGACTCTTGGGAGGTGTGGTCTCTCATCATCAGTCATCAGCCTCTTCACAGGACTGTTTTGATGGTTTTACCACATGACGGCTGGCTTCACCCAGATGGAAGCCATTGTCATTTATGACTCAGAAGGAAGGTAGCTCTGTGGTAGAGTGGTTGCCTTGCATACATGAAGCCTTGGGTTCGATTCCTCAGTACCACATACACAAAAAGCAGGAAGTGGTGCCATGGCTCAAATGGTAAAGTGCTAGTCTTGAGCTGAAGAGCTGAGGGACAGCGCCCAGGCCCAGAGTTCAGGCCCCATGACCGACAAAAAAAAAAAAAGTAAAGCACATAATGTCTGATTCATTAGTTCCCATGTTAAGTTCACACTCAGGAATTGGGTTCTCTGTGTGTGTGAGTGTGTGTGTGTATGTGTGTGTGTGTGTGTGTGTGCATGCTTTTTGCTCAAGGCACATGCTCTACCCCTTGAGTCACAGCTCCACTTCCAGCTTTCCTGGTAGTTCATTGGAGATGAGTCTCATGAGCTTCCCTGTCTGGGCTGTCTTTGAATCACAATCCTGGCATTACAGGTGTGAGCTACCAGTGACCAGCTGGAATTGGGTTTTCAAGGAAATAGTAGTAAGAGTAGCAAAGAGTCTTGTGAAACTATTTAAAAACTATCACCCACAAAACAGGGCAGCATTTCCAGGTTGGGAAGTTTGGTAGTTTGATGAGAAAGACAGGGTCTGAGAGGTCCGCTGTGGTAGGCAGAATAATGTCTTCCCAAAAAAGCTGCGTTCTAATTCCCCGAACCTATGACTATGTTATATGGCAAGTAAGAATTTTAGGTTGCTAATCATTTGAGCTTAAAATAAGAACATCATTCTAGATTAACCAGGTGGATTCAGTGTAGTCACAAAGGCCTTGAAAAGTGTGAACAAGAGACAAAAACTCAGTGTCAGAGTGGTGCAGTATATGTGGAAGACTTCACTGGCCATTGCTGGCTTTGAAGATGGGAAGGGGCAATTAGCCAAGGAATGTAGGCATCCTACTGAGTCTGGGAAGAGCAAAGAAGCTGCTTCTCCTCAAGTCTCCAGAAAGAAAGTTGTCCTTTGTGATAGTATCTGAGCTTTGGCCCAGTGAGATGACCCATTTCTTGTTGTCCTCTAAGCCATTAAACTGTGGTAAACCCATTATAGTAATAATAGGGAATGAATACAGGGATAGATTCATTCATTTTTCTCTCATTCCTCATCTATTTCTGTTCTTAGTAAAGGCTTATGATTATTTTACTTATGCTTTATTGATGTTTGTTGTCTCTTCTTTAAAACCATAAGCTCCCTGACATTGTGATATTGTCTTTTTTGTGTTCTTAAAACATATATTTGCCGAGAAGGTGGCTCAGTGGTAGAGTGCTTGCCTTGCATGCATGGGCCCCTGGGTTCGATTCCTCAGCACCACATAGCCAGAAAAGGCCAGAAGGCACTGTTGCTCGAGTGGTAGAGTGCTAGCCTGGAACTGAAGAGCTGAGGGACAATGTCTAAGTCCAGAGTTCAGGCCCAATGACTGACAAAAACAAAAAAACAAAAACAACAAAAAAAGCCCCATCTATGGGAAGTACAAAATGCATTGCTCATTACTATATGTTGTGGTTTGGATATGAAGTGTCTCCACAAAAGGCTTGCAAGGTTGGCTCCCCAGCTGGTGGTACTATTTTAGGAGGTTCTGAAAGTAGCCCAGTTGAAGATAGTGCCTGATGTGGAGGCTGTAACATAGCCCCAACTTTTCTCCATCTCTCTGCTTCCTATTGGCTATGGCATGACGAGCCACCGCTGCCACATCCTCCTGCCGCCATGTTGGTTCTGCCCAAGCTCAAAGGCCCAACTAAGTAATCACGGGCTGATTCCTTTGAAATGGAGAGCTAAAATAAATGTTTCCTCCCTTAAAGCATCTCTCAGTTTTGGCCAGGGCTACATAAAAGTAACATACACGATGTCACTATTAAGAATTAGATTGTCTCAAAGTGGAGGCAGTCAACTTAGGAAAGAAGTGAAACAAGAGCTGGTGTGAATGAATGATTCTTCCTCCTCAAACTGAAGTCAAAGAACCACATCCATGGCAGGATAGTTTATTGAAATACTATTTATTCTGTCTTTCTTGTGATTTCAAATTAGTAGCCAGCTTCATTTCCTTACGGTTGGGGACTCCTAGCCAGACCAGTGGGAGATTTGTAGCCACTGGCTCATCTCCAACTTGTAAAAGTCTAAGGCCTTTGAAGGGTTATTGCTCCTTTGGGGTGGAGGGAGGGAGAGAAGTCTTTTAGAGGTAAGGAAGATGGACCCTCGGAACCGAAGGAGGCCCCCAAGTTTTATGGTTAGCGGAGATCTGCATCCTGTTTGATGATAAGGCCTCCAGGAGGAGGAGGGCAGGTCAGACCTGAGACTTGAAAGTTCTATGAATTATCCATGAAGCCCAGGCCCTGCACACATTTCAGTAGTCAAGAATGTGGAGGAATTGGGGAGGATAGTGGGAAGTCTCTCCTGAGATGACACAAAATGGCACCCAGTATCTTCCGGGGAATACTGTTAAAACCAAATGGAAGGAGAGGGGGAGAGAGAAGGGTATGTATGTTGGAGGAGAAAACCCTAGAATAACCAAGATGGAATGTCTCTATACCATCCAGAAGAGAGGAAGACAGGCTGGAATCTGAAATCTACTGATTTTGAAGAAAGAAAAAAAAAGTCCACATTATGACCTAGTATTCAAAATGGTGACACTCTTTGGCTTTAAAGGAAGATGTTTAATGTCCGGGGAGGTCTGGGCAGGGCTGGTATTTAAGAAGGCAACAACAGGCCCTTCACCGTGCGGCTTCGGGAGTGGGGAAGAGGATGAAGCAGAGCTGCTGGTAGGTGCTGTGGCTGAGCTAGGTTGGAAGCACGTACTCCATCTCATCGGGGCTGAGGTACAGGTAAATCAGAAGGCAGCTCCAGATGCCAAGGGAGAAAAGGGCGCCCAGACCGGGTGTGAAAGTTTCCTGCTAGGTGGGAGAAAGGCAGGAACCTGAGGCTAGGACAGATCTATCGCTGGGGCTGGGGGGGACCCCCCTCCCCCCATGGGAGCCCCAGGGCAGCAGCCTTAGGCTTATCCTCCCAAGTCCTCCTTCTTGGAGCCACATTCTCTATGACAGGGTGGTTGTACTGCATGGCACAGTCCACTGGTGGTCCCTACTTCCTGTATAACCACATGTTGGGGGAGCTTTGCTAGACAGGCCACTAGAGCATGTGAGGCCCTCTGGGAAAACAAAGACACCCAACTGGGAGACCTTGTATGGATCTACCTACCCCTGATTGTAGTTGGTCTTTAGAGCACACAACAAACATTTCTCCTGCAGAGGACAGAAACGGCACAAGAAAGATCATTTTCCCCTGGTCCAAGATGGCCAGCCTGCTGGGCCCCTCATCGAGCCTCGCTATAGGAAAGGACAGAATAATACAGTGGAACTTGGGAGCAGGCAAATCCGGGGATGACCTACATGATCATGGCTTAGGAAGCTCCACAATCTAGAAAGCAAGGTGGGTAAGGAAGGCTCCAGACTAGGGAGGCATCCCAGGGCCAGCAGTGGGTGGCACGGCCCCTTCAACAGCACAGGTTGAAAGAAGAGGCGCCCAGGGCTCAGTACCAGGCCTGGCAGGGTGCAGGGTTCACTTACACAGCAGCTCCTGCACTGGTGCAGAGACTCCAGTGGGTCCTTCTTAGATTTTTGGGAGGCCATCATCTTGTAAAAGCTCAGTGGGGCTCTTTCTTCCATCTTCCTGTGCCTGTGCTGAGAGTCTATGTCGATGTTTCCCGTTAGTTCTTGGTGTTCCTTGGCTCGTCTTTGGAGGGGTCTAGGGGTTAGGGAGGGACCGAGAGTTGGGGAAGCCAGAAGACTTTGACTCCAAGCCATTGGAGCCACAACAAGTCTTGGAGGAATCTGAGTGTCCCTTGAACCCAGAGGGATTTGGCAGGGTGGGAGGACACTCTTGAGGAATGAGGAGAGAGAGGTGCAGTTGCTACTTACAGCTTGTTGTTCTGTATGTTTATTAAGACATCCATCTTTTCATCCATATCCTTTTGCATTTCCTTCAAGAGAAAATGATGAGTTTTCTTTTTCAAATTTGTATTATTATAAATCCTGTGCTGATTTTTTTTGGTATATTTATACTGGCTTTTCCAATGATTCTTTTTTTTTTTTTTCATTGGGAAAATACTGTTGGCTTTTCCAATTATTCTTATGCGTTAAATTAGGAGAGTAGAATCTTAACTGCAAGAATTTTTGAGATTTCTGATGACACTTGCCAATGAGTCCATCCCATTTTTGAACAAATTTACACTCTGATTCCTACTTTAAGAACATTTCCATCTGGTGTTTGTTTGTTTATTTAATGCAAGTACTAGGGCTTAAATTCAGGGCATTAGTGCTGTCCCTTAGTTTGTTTATTTGATTGTTTTTTCTGCTCAAGGTTGGGACTCTTCCACTTTAGTCATTCCCCTTTCCCCCACATCGACACATACACACTTTGTCTTTCTGCTAGTTATTTGAGAGGGATTTGTTCTCCTGAGCTGGCTTTAAACCACAAGCCTCAGTCTCAGCCTCTCAAGGAGTTAGAATTGCAGGTGTGAGCCACCAACACACAGCCAATGTAATTCTTTTTAAAACACTTTTCTATATAGTTAAATATTTAAGTGAATAGCTTCTGTGTGGTTTTACTTATACATTGAACAATAAATACTACCAAAAACATCATAACAGTTTTCATTAAGTCACTTTACAGATTCTTTCTGTTTATAGGGCTAACTGGTCTGTATTTTTCTCATATAGCCAAAGCAGTGTTCTGAATATCATTATATAATCTTTTCCTTCTCCCTGATATTTTTTTTATCAGAGCTAAAATTTTAGAGAACTCCCTAGAAGTGCGTGGAGCATGCACTGGAGTCACCTGGGAAGATGTGAATGCTTTTGGTGCTTGGCCCTCATCTCTGAAGCTCTCCCTTGCTTTTCTGGGCTGCGGGTCAGGGAAGGGCTCTGTTGGATATGAAGTCTTTGGGGCTTTTCTGCCCAGATTGGTCTCAAACCACTCTCATCCTAATCTCCAGATGTGGGCCCCTGGCACTCAGCTTGTTTTGCAATCCTCCCAAGGAATCTTCTTCTCTGACAGAGAAGCTGTCCTCAGTACTATAGATCACACATTCAGATGCCTCTATTTGTCTTATGACAAATCAGTTTGTACCACCCTGGTTTGATAACTGTGACTTTGTCATGAAATTAACTATTTGGTAAGGCTAGAATCTCCTTAAAGCTCTTGAAATTAAAAATTAAACCTAACTTTATTATTATTATCTTATTATGGTGTTTTATCAGAGGCGTTACCATTTTATACATGAGGAATGAGTACACCTCTTTTTGGGCAATGCTACCCCTTTCCTTTGCTTTCCCCACAAACTCTTGAAAGTTTTATAGCTAATGCTCGTTTCTGTTTCTGTGTCAGAAGATCTCAAACTTTCAGCCAAATAAGTTGGCCAAAGTTCCCCGAACCCAGAGACCAACAGGAATGTAGGCTACATTTCCTTTCTACTATCACAGGTGATTCTGAAACACTCAAGTTGGTGAACCTCTGTTCTGGATTCCAGATTATCCTCCCAGTGGTGTGTGTGTGTATGTGCGCGCACATGTGTATGCACACACCAGGCTTGGTACTTGAACTCAGAGCCCTGAGTTTTTTTGCTCTACCACTTGAGCCACAGCTCCACTTTCCAACTGTTTGGAAATTTATTGGAAATACAACTCTCACATGCTTTCCTGCCTAGGCTACCTTTGAATTGTGATCCTCATATTTCAGCCTCTTGAGTAGCTAGGATTGCAGGCGTGAGCCACCAGTGCCTGGCTTCTTTCTTTCTTTTTTTATTTAGAAAGACTCCTATAGGCCCTTCAATTTGCACAAGTTTAGTTTTCAACTTGCACAAACTTCCAAGGCTCAGCTGAAGACTCCCTTTCTAAGAACATCTCTGTTAGGTTTCCTGAGTCACTACCCACTAATTACTGACAGTCTGCATTTTAGCTGGCAGTGACTGTGCAGGTCTCCCAAGAGGAGACCTGGAGAGCAACGTCTGGCTTTTTTTTTTTTTGGGTCCGGTCGTGGGGCCTGAACTCTGGGCCTGGGCGCTGGCCCTCAGCTCTTCAGCTCAAGGCTAGCGCTCTACCACTTGAGCCACAGCACCACTTCTGGCTTTTTTCTTTTTGCTTATGTGGTGCTGAAGAATCGAACCCAGGGCCTCATGCATGCAAGGCAAGCGCTCTACCACTGAGCCACCTTCCCAGCCCGGTCTGGCATCTCTTGACCAGTTTTTGGTCTGATACTCTGGTCCATGGAAGGCAGGAAGGAAAAGCTTACCCTCATAATTTCCACGAATTCTTGAAGTTTATCAAAATCCTTGTCCATTATATCCTTAATCTAATGAGGAAGGAAAAGCACACAGGGTGTGTTAGTGGGAGCCATTTTGGGATCTTGGGCGCATTTTAAATCAAGGGCAGCAGCCACAGCACAGGAATCTACTAACAGTGTCCTGTAAAAGCTACTGTAGGGACTCGGGCACACCAGTCATCAAGCCACTCCCACCAGCATGGCTTAGACAGAGCCACTGCTAGGCATCAGGGTGGAGTGCATGCCGTCAGACAGGCTGTTCAGTGATACCTTCTTGCTTGGTGATTCCCTTGTTCTCTAAGTGGCCGGAGGCAGCTACAACCCTGGGACAAGGGAGTTCTTGCTATGCAGCTGGCTCGTGGGAGGTGCGTGAGGAGGGCGCAGTTAGCCCTGATTTGCCTCCCTGCCAAGTCAGCCAATCTCCCTCCGCCTTATCACTGCGGTTACACCACCCCAACCATAACACCTTAAGATCAAGTCACTCGAAAACTGAGTTTAAGCAGCACCCAAATTAAAAACAAAAATATACCTAAGCTGCCCAACACTCAAAAGGAGGTTGAGGCTGAATTTAGTTTGATTGCAATTCCTGATTTTCTTCACTATTGGATAAATATAGATACGTTAACTTCATAGTACTGGGGGTGGAATCCAGACCTGGAGCTTGCTAAACAAGCGTTCTACCACTTAAACCACACCTTTCCTCTGCTAGACTTTATTTTTTCTTTTCATTTTACTTTCAGCTTGGCTAACTTGGCCTGGGTTGCCTGTGAGCTGGGAGCTTCCTGTTTGCTAAGATGCTGGGATTGCAGGTGTGTGCCACTACTCCATAGTGCATTTTTCTTGAGCCGTGCTTTCCCACCACGGTATTCGAGCTTTGTCCCATTACCTGTTTAATCTCCTCCATTTTTTCTTTGAGTTCTTCCCTCACCTCCCTGAGTTCGTTCTGAGGAGATAATGTGGGAGAGAGAAGGAGTGAAGATGAAGAAATATCTTGGATGGGGTGGAAAGGGCATGGAACATGGCCATAACAGACACACACCTCCCTGAGGAGGGAAGAAGGGCGCCATTATGACAGAGGGACCAGGGGACCTGCTGGCATTATGGGCCTCCTGATGGGAAACCAAAGGAGCAGACCATCACTTCTTCTGATGTCCTGCCCCTTAAGCCCACTCTGAATCTAGAAATAGCAGACAAGTCCTGATCGGTAATCTTCTAAAACGTCAATGTCCTAAATGACAAGAACTGTTGCTGATTATAGGAGAAGAAAGTGACACGTCAGCACAGATTAGCTCCTGGGCCAGAAAACAAAAAAAACAAGTTCTGTCTTGTCTTTTCATTATGAAAAACCATGCATGCGGCAGTGGTAAAATGAGAATAAGGGATCCAGATGACCGTGGTTGGCTGATTTCCTGATTTTGATCATTGCACTGTGGGCATGTTGAGAATTTTTTTTTCAAAGGAAATAAATGGACACTGAGAATTTGGAGAACACGTACATCAAGTGGTTCAGAAAATTCAGTCAGCCATCCCTTGCTGCCCATGGAGGACGGCTTCTGTGACCTGCCCTGTACCCTATGCAGGTCCGTGACCTGCCCTGTACCCCATGCAGGGCAGTGGGAGGGGAGCCTCAGATGGAGAGAAACAGTCAGATGCCTGCCCAGGCATAGGCCGCTGTTCCGCAGTGTCTGAGGGGTCTTGTTCCAGGACCCCCCAGCAAGTGTCCAATGTTGCAGATACTACATCCTGATATTAAATCATGTCACACTTATATATGATGTGTACATGAACTTTCATATATTTTTTCCCAAATATTTTCTATTTGAGGTTAGCTGAAGATAGGGAGCACATGGATATAAAGGGCTGTGTGTGTGTGTGTGTGTGTGTGTGTGTGTGTGTGTGTGTGTGTGTGTGTGCATGCTCACATGTAAGGGGAGGGAGGGAGGAAGGAGAGGGAGTGGGGAAGAATAAAACAATCATAGCAGAACAGTGGGCTGGGAAGGTGGCTCAGTGGTAGAGCGCTTGCCTTGCATTCATGAGGCCCTGGGTTTGATTCATCAGCACCACATAAGCAGAAAAAGCCGGAAGTGGCGCTGTGGCTCAAGTGGTAGGGCGCTAGGCTTGAGCTGAAGAGCTGAGGGACAGCGCCCAGGCCCAGAGTTCAGGCCCCATGACTGACCAAATAAATCAAAAAGCAAAAAACAAATAACAAACGGTAAGTAACATTTGGGAAATCTGGGTTCAGGGCATATTAGAATTCATCGTGTCACTTTTCTGTAAATCTGCAATTGTTTCAAAATAAAATATATTTAAAGAAAAAGACCTAAAGAGAAACCAGATGCCCGAGGCTCATGCGTATAATCCTGGCTACTCAGGAGGCTGAGATCTGAGGATCATGGTTCAAAGCCAGTCCAGGCAGGAAAGTTCCTGAGACTCATCTCCAATTAACTACCAGAAAACCAGAAGTGGCACTGTGGCTCAAGTGGTAAAGCGCTCGCCTTGAGCTGAAGAGCTGAGGGACAGCGCCCAGGCCCAGAGTTGAAGCCCCACAACCAACCAAAAAAAAAAAAAAAAGACCCAGAGAGAATAAAGTTGCAGCGCCACAGGTGCCAGTGGGTCAGTGGGTGTGTTCCCGGGAAGCTGTGCAGCGCATGCACATTTCACAAGAGTTAGCCGCCCCCAACACCGCGGCCTGCTCACTGACCTTTAGCTCCTGCGTCATCCCCTCCTTGGTGAACACACTGTCCTGTTTATTTCCTTTGCAATTATATGTCTGAGGCTTGAGAAAGAAACACAGAACATTGGAAATGACAGAGGTGGGCCGGCGTTGCAGGAAAACTCACAGTTTCTGTCCCTCCCTGGAGACAGGACACAGTGAAAGCTATGGCCTAGTCCCCTCTAGCCTCCTCCCTGAGTCCGTTCTTGTTCTGTTCCCCTCCTGGTCCACGGGGCCTCAGTTCTTTCTGCCTCTCGCCCTGCCAAGTTCATGTCTACTCGGGGCTCTGTGCTGCCTCCTCTTTGCTCATCTGCTCATCTAGCGTTCACTAAGGAAAGTCTTTCCCAGCCGCCTCACAGAAATCAGCCACCTCTCCCGTCTCCCAGCATCTGCTGGGCTCTTGGCAACCAGCTTGACCTTGTTGACCTTGAACCACAGACCTCCCCTCATCTCTGTCTCCCAAATAGCTGCCATTTCAGTCTTGAGCTACCTCAGCCAGTCTATTCGCAGCTTCTAACCTCAGCTCTCCTCTCTTCTAGCTGAGCCAACTTGGGGGAGTTACTTACTCCCATCTGAGCCTCCATTTGCTCATGTATAACGCCGAGGCCTTAATTATTTTTCCCTAAGATTATTTCTGAGTCTTAGACTTAACTAGTGAGACTTGCTGTAGCCCAGGGCTGCGAGTTTCCAGGAGGAGCTAGAGTATTACATCAAGGTATCCTTCTACCCCACCCTCTGAACCCCAAAGCCAGGCATGAACCCCACACCCCCTTTAAGCTGAAAGTCTACTTTGTGCTCAGAAAAGCTGGATTGGCCAGAGCATTTTCTGTGTCCTCCTGGCCCATCTTCCCCTCAGTAGGAGGTCAGAGTGCCCACACCGCCCCTCATTTACCGTTTTTTTCTTCATTTCTCCCCTCTTGGCTGACATGATGGAAGAGGCAAGGGTGTTCTTTACCTTCCCAACCACCCCACAACAACCTCCCAGGGACCAGCCACTGTCTTATGCAACTTACAGGCTGAGGTGAGGGAGGGTGACTACCTCTGGGGTAGAATCGCTGAGGTCACAATGCGCCAGGCCTCACAATGCAGGCTGCCTTGCATGTCTCGGCAGCTTGGGCCCCTCTGCTTTGCTACTGAGATGAGAGGCCCTGACCAGGTCCAAACGCCAAAGTCCTTCCTCCTGGAGCAGAAGCTGTTCACCTGGGGACAGGGGAGCGGGGTGGGGGCGACGCCCAGGCCTCATTTTGCTATGTGCTACTTTAAAACTGTAAAGTTCCTCTGACTAATGGCACAGTTCTCAAAGATCCCCCAGCCACAGGGTAGCTGGGCCCTTTCTCCACTTGTTCCCATACACCCTTCACAGGGCTGAGCAACCATGGTAAAAATGACTGACCCCACCATAATAGCTCTGAGATGTGATCAGCAGCACCTTCTCCTTCCCTCTTGCTTTGGCTTGAGCTCCTTTCAGACCTGCAGTGACCTTCACTTACAGTTCTGTACACTGACTTCCAGCTCAGCACAATATGTGAGCTCGGTGACCTGTGTATTAGGCAGTGGATCTAAAAGAATCAGGGTCTCAGTGTGAAACTGCCTTGTAAAGAAATAAGTGAGCTGGGTGTCAGTGGCTTATACCTATTATCCTAGCCAGCTACTCAGGAAATTGGGATCTGAAGATCATGGCTGAAATAAGTCCAGACAGGACAGCCCGTGAGAATCATCTCCAAGTAACCAGCCCCAACTGGAAGTGGAGCAGGGGCTCAAGTGGTAGGGTGCTAGCCTTAAAAATGAGAAAGCTGGGGCTGGGAAGGTGGCTCAGTGGTAGAGCGCTTGCCTTGCATGCATGAGGCCCTGGGTTCGATTCCTCAGCACCACATACGCAGAAAAGAAAAGCCGGAAGTGGGGCTGTGGCTCAAGTGGTAGAGCGCTAGCCTTGAGCTGAAGAGTTGAGGGACAGAGCTCAGGCCCAGAGTTCCGGACCCCCAAAAAAAAAAAAAAAAAAAAAGAGAAAGCTAAGGAATCACATCCAGGCCTGAGGACAAGTCCTAGTACCTAGAACCGGAAAAAGGGGTGGGGGGGAGGAAGGACAGAAGGTAGGAAGGGAAAGAAAGGAAGGAGAAAAGAAAGAAGAGAGAAAGAAACAAAGAAAAAGAAAGAAAAATAATTAATATATATTTGAATATATATATATATATATATGATTTATCATGTGGATAGAAATCTAATCATAGTGTTTGCCTTCTCTCAGTATTTACCATTCATTTCCCAAACATATCTCTGTTGTTATTGAATATCGTCCAGAAGGGCTGTGGTGAATCTGAGGGGGTGAGCCCCACTATTCTTGAGGGTTCTAGAACCTCTGGGACTAGGCTGAGGCAGCTCTGCAGTGTTGGACATTGTTTAGTACCAGTTTGTTATGGCGATGCCATTTTTGCCTGAAGAATGCCTAACCCCTTTCACAGCTTGTGCTGCGAAAACTAGGGCAAAGATCATGAGGCGCTCAAATATTCTGTCAGAGTTTGGGGAAACAGGGGTGCCCACAAAAGAGAGGAAGAGGCACCCGTGGGGCGTTCAAATCGATCTTTCAATTTCCTTTTCTTTATAAAGCTTCTAGATTTTCAGTTTTGTAAGAATAATGTTGGGGAGAATTGTTTCTTAATTGGTTGACTTACTGTTTTTTGTTTTTAAAGAAAGGAAAAGCTGGGTACTAGTGGCTCATGCCTGTAATCCTAGCTACTAAGAGGCTCATGGTTCAAAGCCAGCCCAGGCAGGAAGTCCAGGAGACTCATCTCCAATTAATCATCTGAAAATCAGAAGTGGAGCTGTGGCTCAAAGTGGTAGAGCACTAACTAACCTTGAGCAAAAGAGCTCAGAGACAGTGCCCAGGTGCTGAGTTCAAGTCCCACAACTGACAGAGAGAGCAGGGGAGGGAAGAGGGAGGAAGGGGGAAGGAAAGGAGGAGGGGGAGGGAGAGGGAATAACAACCAAATAAATAACAAGCAAAAAGAGATTTTATTTGACTGATTTGTAGACAGCTTTATTCTCTGGAGCAGCAGGTGTCTTCTTTCCCTGGCATTGGTTACTATGTGATTTCCAATCGTTTCTACAGGTAATACATCTAGCTTTTAAATTTATTTCCATTTTTATATTCTTTTTATTTTGCTTTATTTTTTACATTGTTTCTGTGAGAAATCTATGTGTAGTTACTATCCTATGAGCTCCTGATACTTCCATTTCAGGAACAGATTGTTGTCAACCTCTAGTGGAAAGTCACATCAAGTGTATTGTGCCTTTTCTCTCCTGCATACCCACCATGACAGGCACATGCTTGCCAGCCTGCTCCAGACCCCAGAGACCCACTACTATTCCCACCACCCGTCACAGCAGACCAGCCTGTTGTGTGAGATAATGCCAGCGTGCCAGCTTCCAGAGGCTTTCCTCCTCAGTGTGGCTCCCATCTTAACTGGGACCCTAAAAGAGAAGGGCAGCTATTTTCCATCTGCCTTTCTCAGCCCTCGGCTAGAAGGCTGTCCGAAGCTGCTGTCCTAGCCCTTTACCGCCTCCTTGCCACACCTCTGACCTTGTCAAATTCCCTTTTGTCATGGAGTGATACCATCCTTTTGTCCTTGGGAACAATCCCATGGGCTCATCCTGGGAGCAGCTCTTGTCACATTCCTGTGGTGAACTCTCCCTGCCCTCCTCCCCCCCCAAAAAAAAAAACCCACCCCAAACCTCACATCTGACCGCAGAGAATGCTGAGAAATGCGATCAAGGTTCTCCCAATAAGAGAAAATAGCTTGATGGAGCAGGTAGTCAACCTCTGCTCTGTTTATCCTCATGCATTCCATCTCCGTTTATTCTACCAAGTGAATATGATTTGGGATTCTTTGGTTTGTAGTGTAAAAGATCTTGTCACTTACAAGATCCAAAAGGGAAATCGATACTGGCCACGGAACTGATTCAATCTATGTCAGCTGTGAACGGGAACACTGGGGTAAAGATGAGCACTTCTTTGTTGTTGTTATGTGACTGGACAATGAACCAGGATGCTGAGCCAGAGATCGCAAGGACAGTCCTATTGGACCAGGGCTTTGGAGTACAACAGTTGTAGGCTATCCCATACCCACTAGGCCGCAAGGGCCTCACCACAGGATGAATCATCCTCCTCCTCTGCAGCCACTAGCGTGTGGGGGCCCCAACGGTTCCCTGAATACTCCCAGCTCCTTCTTGGGGGAGTGGGGGTGGGGTGGGCTCTGCTGTCCTCCTCTTGAGTCCTTTCACAGACACACTCTCCAAGGGGTGGGCCCCAGTGCTGAGCCTCAGCCCTTCCCCAGCCTGTGGTCTGGGCCTCACCTCTCCAGCTCCTGCTCCCCAGCCTGTCTGCACAGCGTAGCTAACGCCCAACTATAGGCAAAGGCTGCGGAGGAACGGCTTCCTTTCAGCAGGAGGGGATAGCTCAGGTAGAGAGAGATGCTTACCTGTCCTGCTGCTAAGAAGGGACTTTGGTTTTCCGGGGGGGCCTGTGGTGCTTTCCTGCTGGTCTTGTAGCAGACTGGCTCCCAGGGCTGAATGCTTTGTGAACTAGCAACCATTCCTGCTCTCAAGAAGCTCAGTCTAGAGGAAGGAAAGAGAAATGCATGTGGAGTTTCCACCTGGAATGCTGAGTGATGCCCCCGAGAGGCGCCTGGGGTGGGGCTGCCCCGCCCCCACTCCCCACTGCACTTGTGCGTGGGTGTGTCTCAGGGCTTGATGCCACCTTTCATGCAAGGGACTTGCCCAAGAAGCCTGGGCAAAGGTCAAAATAAAAAGGCGACTGGTGGTGTTTTCTAGGCTAGGATTGCCAAATTCTTCTCTGTCCCCAGAGAGCAGCCCCCAGGCCGGGGACCCAGAAGGATCCTCCCACTGCTGAAGTCGCCTGAGGACATCACCACCCAAGAGAATCTTGGGCAGGGCATTATTATCACTGATGGAGTCACTTCCCCCCCTTGTTTTCCTTTTGCCCAATCAGACAATCTGTAGTTCTCTTAGGGATGGCTGAGCACCAACAAAGGAGTCTTTTAAGGTTTGTTTTTGAAAAGGCTGGGCCTCGGAGAGGGCGGAGAGGGCGGGCTCTGGGCATAAACAGGACACAAGGTTTTGTTTCCCCAAAGAAAGCAAGTGCCTTGTTCTGGCGTGCGCATGCTTACGTGGGATGAGCGCAGACCGAGGAAGGGGTGACATCACTGGAGTAGAATATGGGGGACCATCTTCTTCCTGCTTCATGGTTTTCTGGGACCTGAGCTTGAATCATGGCCTCATTACAATACTTCCTATCCTGGTGTGTGTGTGTGTGTGTGTGTGTGTGTGCGAGAGAGAGAGAGAGAGAGAGAGAGAGAGAGACAGAGAGACAGAGAGACAGAGACAGACAGAGAGACAGAGAGACAGACAGAGAGACACAGAGAGAGAGAGACAGAGACAGAGAGTGGGGTTTGAACTCA